CCCAGATTCGTTGTATAGGCTTGAAATGTCAAATGTACGTTGCCCAAAGATACCAAGAGTAAGGTTAGTTAGGCCCTTCATATAGTATGAGTAATTAGATCCTCAATTCGGAGTGAGAAGCGTCTTTGAGATAATATTTGCGCAATGCAGCGTCAGTTTAGTTTAGACTCATTAGTTTCCGTAGGATAGGTTCAAAAATATTTTCGTAGCGGCATGTCACTAGTTTAGTGGTTACGACACTGATTCTATGGGCTGTCTACGGTTTTAGGTTTACGTCCACGCACTTTGTTTCAGAGAGTAAGGTGTCCTCTAATGCCCTCACGATGAGTGGCACAAAATCGACTGCATAAACTTGGTCCACGTTTTGTGCATTAATATTCGCTACCGTGTAACTGTTTGAGAAGCGATTTACTAGTCCACGAACCTGCAAATGTTTCGCACAACATTACTATGGCTAGACAGCATGACTTGTGCGGGATCGAAAAGTTAGTACTCTTGATAAAGACCATCTAGTTTTCATTTATAAACTTGCTTGTTGTAGCAGGTAGGTGAAATAATTTGGATTTAAGTCGCCCCTGATTTTTTGAGGATTATCTGTTGTAGCAGATCCTAACACAGACCATCGAATTGAATTTATATAACAAGCAAATATGCTTAATAGTTTGACTGAAAATCTAGTTACAAAACAAAAGGTTGGTTCGGGGATAATGAAATGCATTCCGACTGACCATCAATGGGACTATTAGCTTGTCTCCGGCGTATTATGACACTTGTTTGTCGAGTAGGCGATGTTTTGTATATCCTATGCATTTCAGCCGATGAAAGTCTAACTTTGTTATTGACCTAGTATCCTTAAATGACCCATTACACCTAACTTCAGCTTAACCCGATTGACGGCTTCTCCATGTTCAGAGGGGTTTGACGAAACTGAAAATATGAGGTTGTCACCACCTTAAATTCGAAGAAAGGGGAGCGTATCCTGAACGCCAGTTTTGTTGAGTCTTTGTTAATCCTGACTGTTACTTATAGTTGTAAAATGTTCCCTTAGTAGCAGTTCATCCCCAAAAGTCAGACAGAAAAACTGATACGACAAGGGAGATCGAAATTATTTCATAACATTTAACAAACTGTTTGCAGAAGAATGGACAAGACTTTAATATCCGTTCTTGTTAATTACGAGTATATTTAAAGTCGTCAGTCAGTCAGCTGCAACGTAGGACCAGGCACGTAAATGCATCGGTCCAAGTTGCCATACCGCATTAACACAACAAGATGAACACCGGATTCATAGAAGTAGTTAATTCAGTGGTGGTAATATATAGAAGAAAGATTGTATATAAGGAAATAGTACAGGAAGAAAGAATTAGTTGGTAGAAAGAAAGATATGAAGCGATTTTATTCTCTTAGTTTAAGGAAGACAGAGAGTGTATACACCGACGCCATTGTGATCGATTCTGAGCCATGTCACCTGTGGTCAAATACTAGTAACTTACGAATATCTTCTACTCTTAAAGGCCATGTTTCGCAGCCGTATAGTAAACGGAACGAACTGCCGCGCAGTATGCTCGTCCCTTAATTGATAGACGGATATCTCGCCTTCGACATAGATGACGTAATTTGGCAAAGGCCAAACGAGCTTTTCGAATCCGTGCTGAGATTTCGTCAGACACCAACCCATTAGGGCTGATCAGACTTCCAAAATAAGTGAAGTTGTCAACGCGTTCGATTACTTCACTCCCTATCCTTAGTTCAGGTGTTGACGCAGACCAGTCCTGAAGCAACTCGGTGTTTTATCAGCATCTTCACAAAACAGGACTATGTCATCTGCGTATTCTAAGTCAATAAGTGGACCTCCTGGTAGGAGATCAATACCCGAGAATTCAGTCGATAAGAGAGTTATTTCCATCAGTAGGTCTATGATGAAGTTAAACAAAAATGGAGAAAGTGGACAGCCATGGCGGACACCACTTGAGGTTGCAAAAGCAGATGACAGTTCGCCATAAGCTCTGACTAGACTAGTAGTGTTCGAGTAAAGAGCCTTCACAAGGTTTATGTACTTCTGAGGTACGCCTTTCAATGACAGACACTGCCACAGAACCTCTCGGTCAACAGAGTCAAACGCTGCTTTTAAATCAAGGAAGACCACTATTGTCGGATGTCGATAAGTATGCCAGTGTTCTAGAACCTGACGAATGGTGAATATGTGGTCTACGCATCCACGATCAGGTCTGAAGCTAGCCTGATTTTCACGTGTTTGCAGTTCACGAGTCTTAGTTAGGCGTCCGAAAATTATCGAAGCTAGTATTTTAGATACTATATTAGTTAAACTAAACCCTCTGTAGTTGTCACAGGATGATTTTGACCCTTTCTTAAATATTGGGACGATAAGTGATTGTGACCAGTTAGATGGAATAATGTCTAACTCCCAGAATTGAGCTAAAATACTAGTCAACCTAATCGCTAAAACTAGACCACCATCCTTAAAGACCTCTGGGGACAATCCGTCTGGACCAGCTGCCCTTCCTCGTTCCAGATTAGCTACAGCCTTTTGAACTTCAGCTAGAGTTGGGGGACCTACTTCAATGTTCCATTCACACAGTCTGGGTATAGAGGGTAGCTGTAGGCCAGCTAAACTGCTCCGCCCGTCGTTCTAAACGTCTGGGCTGGGAGCAGATGAGTGTCGTCTTTTTCCGAAATAGTCTGACTTACACTTGACTTATTAATTCCAGTTAACTTTTATTAGTCTGTAGAGTTGTCTTGTGTTCCCTATAGCCGCCGCCTTTTCCATCTCTTTTGCTTTCGTTGCCCACCACTGCTCACGATCGTTCCTTAGACTTTTGCTTAACCTAGATCTGATTTCTTTACGCTCTTCATCGTGTTCAGAACCTGATGGGATGAGTTTGCGAGAATCCATCAGTGCAATAGGCCTTGAAGAAATCCATTGGTTTTTTGTAACCCTGTGGTTCAAATCATTAGTAGATATCATTGCTGTTTCCACAGCTTCTTGTATGTCTTTCCAATCAACATCGGGGTCAGTCTCGTTTTCAGAACTACCTAAGTGTGGCCTCAGTTGTTCCTGGAACCTACTTTTGGCTTTCTCATTACTCAATTCGGTTCTAATGAGTCTTTTTTGCGTCCAGTGAGGCGCAAGCAGATGCGTGCCCGTATTAGGGCATGATCGGAGTCCAAGCAGGTACTCCGGAATGAGCGACAATCTTCTATCGACCCTCTCCAACGATGATTGATGGCAATATGGTCTATTTGAGTCCATCGTTGGTTCGGTGCAGGGGGTCGCCATGTTAGACGATGTCTCTCCTTATGCTTAAAATTTGTGTTTGCTAAAAATAAAAGATTGTCTGAGCAAAGTTGCAGCAGACGATTACCATCATCTGTTCTCTGTGCCGGAATACTAAAATACCCACCTAAATGTCTTTCTGTTTGGTTTAAGCTACCTACCTGGGCATTAAAGTCACCTGCTAAGAGTACTATGTCTGAACGTTTAGCTTTCTGTAAAATTCATCTTTCACTTCATCCGAACTGCAGTCAGTGGGAGCGTAGGCAGAAACGACGTGTGTCCCTATCCTTTCGAGTTCTTACGGAGCCGTTTAGCCGAACAGCGCATAGACGACTATTAACAGGGATCCACTCTAATAGCGCTTGTTCCGCCCTCATGCTTAGTGCTATGCCTACACCTGCCAGTTCACGAGAACTAGCCATCGGGTCACCAGATACACGGAGGGTGTATCTCGTCGGCACTCCGTTTTGCCGAGGTGAGGTCAAATGAACGACCACGCTAGGATTCTGTATGCGTGTTTCGGAGACACAGCATACATTAATCGTAAGAGATTCTAATGTTTTAGCCAAGGAAGCCTGCTGACCGATTTGGCATAGTGTGCTTTACGTTGAAGGCTCCAATGTGTAGTTTGGAGCGAGGTTTCAGTAGACCTGGGACAGTGTTTTGCGCACTAGATTCATTGGCTGTGGTGACACTTGAGGAGGAAGCCCAAAGAGGGAGTTTAGATTTGAAAGTCGATGTAAGAGGAATATTAGGAATTGAAGAGGTAGGTTGATTATGAATACAGTGGTCTCGAGTGCTGTTAAAAGTATGAGAGCGGTTATCACTTTCCGGTTGCCCACACCGTGGAAGGGTTCTGCTGGAGGTACCTAAAAAGGAAATTGGATTAGAGGTGGTCATAGTGACCTGAGAGCGTGACCGCAGTGCCCAAGGGACAGCTGCTTGAAGTCGGTCACACACGACCTTTTTATGAGTAGTTTTTGTGTTAGCTCCGTACTTGTTAAGACCTTACCGCCGGAGACAGATATCTGTGGGATAAGGCGAGGTGTGCATTTTTAGGGTCGACCTTTTCCAACCCCACCCCTCCCTTTTGGGAAGGCAGGATCGCTGTTATGCTGGTTGTCTGAAGGAAACACCTTACTGCTGTCACACCTCTGTACAGTCAGCAGTACGACTTCGCCTTCGGACCTTGGTTTTGTTGCTTTTAGTCTTACCGCTCTTCAACTGACCTGTCTGGCATGGTAGGATCTTGAGGAACGGTTTTTCCAGCCAATATAGCTCAGTTGCTTCATCACGATAGGCAAGCCCGACCACCACGTCAAGGTAGCAACAACGGTCAGGATTTAAAGTCGTCGCAAACAATGTATGTTAATCGAAAGCTAGTTTCACATTTTCAAAGTTCAGTTGGTTTACATATCTGGTTTCAATTAATTAAACTCTGAGAAGTAAAAAATACTCAAGTATCACAAATAGTGTACAAATCTTTGGATGTAAAATTTAAATGTTATCGTCATTTATAATAAGCCAAAATAGTAAGAATTTGTAGGCTGAATGCGCCCGAGAAAATACAACAGAAGTCCACAATGAACGAGGTGGAATATATTTAGTCATAATTAGCGCTACTTCCCTGATAAAAAGACAATAAGATGTAGTTTATTTTTCATTTATTGTTAGTATGTTAATATAAAACAAATCCCATAGACATCTACGGCGGACTAAATACTCGGAAACGATGATTTAATTGTTTCTGCACGTGAAGACGGCTTGCATTACTAAATGCGCCGTCGCCCGCAAGCTTTTGGCAGCAAAAAACTCGCCGAATGCGATTATGAAGCAGAGCCATACCACACATCAGACATGGTTCAAGTGAAAAGTATGCATCAAAACCTGTACACAAGTAAGAATCAGAGTGCTGATTTCCTGTATTTTCTTTTAATTTAGCAACAGCTGACACAGCAAGTAATGCTGCGTGATCTAACCAAGATATGTCTGATGTCGTCGTAGGTGTAGTTGATTCTGCTAATGCAGTATTCGATTCTGGATCAACTATGATGACTGCACAAGCCGGACCATTAACGCCTGCACATGATTGTGGGTGTATATTATTTAGATCTTGCGCTTGTTTTGACAAGATAGAAACACGTTTGAGCCATAATGAATGCCTGAAAAAGATAACACAAGTATTTATATTTTATAAAACAATGTGAGGGTCAACCAGTAGAAGACAATTCCTTATGAGAAGTCTTTGGTCTATTCTACACCACTAAAGAAATCGATATCGCAAATTTTGCTCAAACGAGCACTGTACTGCGAATATTAACATAACATGTTTGCCAATACAGAAGTAAGCGCTTAGCGTTTTACTCAAATCTCAGCATGAGTTGCATACCTAAGCATCAAGTTTCCATTTAAAAATTGCCTCTTATTTTATTGTAAAACATATAACTTCCCAGACACAAAAGGTGCTAAGTGATAAGTCGTACATCTCCATTGTCTCATTATCATACAACACTAAACTTCGTAATAACGATATAGTATGAAACCCGTTTAGCACATAAGTTCAACATTAGTGTCATATATACATTAATGTCCAATATATAAATTCTAAGGATCAAACAACCTACTTTTTTAGCTCTAATTCCGAGAAACATGATAACGACGAACTTCGTCCAACATTCACTAGTTGCTCAAGCTCAGGACAGGCTCGTAAAGTGGATGGCCAACCTAAAATAACTGGTTTATTAAGTGAATTTTTGAACAACGAAAATCTCTTTTCTTGTGATTCATTTGAAAATGAGTACAAGAGCTGATGCTTACGAGTTATTGGTGCATGAAGTGGTATCCAGCAGGGTGTTGGGGATGTGCTAATAAACTGGTGATCGGCTGAATTCAATTGTAGTAAGTCGACCATAGAGTTCAAAGTTTCATTGGCATCTAGCCATGTATAGCTGCAACAAATGGAGGCAAAAGAAAACACACATATTTGAAACTTCATTATAATCTAGAAAGTAGCAATAGTAAACTATCGGTTCATCACACCAAATATGCGACAATAATAAATATTGCGCCCTAAACTGCAGAGTTAGTTCTTTAGAGAATTTACTAACAACTAAGGTAGACTAGATTTTAACTCACAAGTCCAAATAAGCACAATCTCGCATAATATGGACATCATCAAACAACAAACATGACGTTTAACTGATTTTCTCTGAGTTCCAATCTTCCTGTTGTTGATATGGACTGCAAATGATCACATTTTGGCATATGTACATCAGCTCAAGGTGAGTAAATATTATATATGAAGTAACGAATTGTCAAAAAGACTGTAGAAACACAATTTTCATAGGTTGGACATTTGCCAAAGCCACAAAATAAGTGAGCAGCCATTTTCATGAAGTTATGCAGATGCAGATAATGCTCATATATACTGGTGGGTTGATAGCCAACCTTAAACTTAACTCGATTTGATATTTGGTTGCAACGGATGCTGCAGCCATTTTACTTACATCAATCAATTTGGGACAATGAGTTAGTTGGTCAGTAAAATGTAGGATAAGATTGGTGCAAACCAGGACATGATCAGAGTCCAGGTACGCACTACAAAAATGGCTACAGTCTTGTACACAACCACATCAGCGGCAGCTGATCGTAATGCGGTTAATCTGAGTCCAGGCTTGAGTTATAGAGGGAGGACACCAAGCAAGTACATCGCTGATGTACCAAAGGTCGGTTCTACCCAGAAACACGTGATCTGCACAAAGCTGCGGGAAACGATAGCCGTTATCCGACCTGCAACCAACGAGTCTCCATTAACCACCCAGATGATTTTCCTCTGTATCCAGACACCTGACCTTCCAATTTAAATCTCTAACTAGCACCAAAATATATGTTGGACGCGCTTTGCTGAGATCATTTAACTTGTGACAGAATTGATACTTAATCGCATCTGGGCTAAAATCTGTCGGAGTGTAGGCGGAGATAACGGGAAATTGTTTTCACATCGATTCTGCCTCACTTTAGTGAAGCTTTCTAATGTAACAGCACATGCACGAATGTTAATGGGGATTCAGTCGGTTATTACTACCTCTACTCTGGCGCTTAGTGCGATTTCAACACGACCACCGGCTAAACCGGACCAAGATGTCACAGGGTCTGTGGACGAGCGCATGCAAAACAGGCTTTCAGACTCAACAGATGAAGGGTGATTTGGTAGTAATTTTTGAATGCTGATCTCGGATAGACAACAAACGTCAATACTAAGACTTTGCAAGAACATAGCCAAACCTATCTGTTGTTCAATCTGCATTAGTGTGTGGACGTTGAAGGTCACTTTGAATGGCACATGTGGTTTCCGAAAGGCAGTATCAGCAATCATGTCCGGTGGTGGTATTCAAACATTTGACCAGTTAGAGACTTGAGTTCATTTGGACAAGACAAGTTTTGCATCATAGACGAGCTGCTGAGTGAGTCAAAAAACTAAAAGTACACAATGGAAATAAAATGGAGTAGGAGAGAAAAGTAAAGTAAAACAAGAGCACTTAAATTAGGTGGGTAGTGAATACCTTCTGAGTAGGTAGACAAGCAGATCAAGTAAGTCGATTTCTTCATATTTACTCACTGTCATATTTCTGAGAGTGCTGCAATACTGTCTCGCAGCTCATGTCGTACAATATATCGTTTCCCTATGGGCCACTAACCTAAGAATCCAGTCCACAAGGCAGTGGAAAAACGTCAGAATATCCGATTCCATAGTAGCCGGTGATTAAGAATAGGTTCATATGTCGTCTGATCCCATCAAGGCTATAGCTACCACGTGCACCATAGGTTTGGAATCGAGGTGTGACTGCTCTCGTGAACGGATCATCATTCACAAACCGTGTTTAAGCGCCAGACGTCCACTTTTTTTCCTCTCACTTCTGTAACCAACACTCATGCAGTGAGTAAAACGTTTCTCGCAGTGGCTATGAAATTGTAGCCATAAGAGCTTTTTGAAAGGAACAGAGAACTATTTTCACCCCTGGTCGAACCTTAACTGCTTAATTATTGGTTAAGCATTATTAGTTTATTTAAAAATATCGAAACTAACACTTTCAAAATCATACCTTCATCATACAATAAAAAAGTAAGAATCAATTCAAGGTTCCAAATCCACTATATTTACTTCGATTTAGGAGGCTCGTAATACCACTAACCCTGGGATAAACAGTGTGGGTCCAAAGCCGACTACAGGGACCTGTGGTTAGTAAGTGGATTACAACATGAGAAATAAATACTAATTGGCACTTGATACGTAATGATAACGTTTACAATACAAACCTTGATTTGGCTATCTGCAAAAAGACATAAGTTGATTTATTTTCATATGATCGGCAACTATCGATTCGTTTAATATGACTGAGCTCCCCAGGGAGTGGAACAAATGACTGTAAATATTGATTTATTTTACTAAGATGGTGTCCTGAATGAACTGCAACACACCAACCTGGTACTAAATGTGGTCGATAACATTCAACTTCATGCGGAAGTATGGCTACTAATTCGGAGGCGATAATGCAGTGGTCGTTTTGCTTCATAATACGTTGATGACCGTCTGGTCGTTTGCGCTTAGATGTCATAGAATTGATCTGCGATGAAAAATGAAATTGACGTATCTTCTAATGAAACATAGGCATTATGTGAACTAGTCGTTTTTTTCACGAGATAAAAGAATATGTGTGAAATAATTAAGGAAATTAAAATACCTGGAGATTACTGAGGTGATAAATAGAAGTAAATACCAACTAAGAATCCATTACTTAATAGATTACTGACATAAAATTGTCAGCTGTCTATCATACTTGGAAATTCGAACAAATTAAGTAAATTATTTCCATGGTTTACTGAATTTTAACGACAAATAACGGTTTGTGCTGTCTCTTAATCATATGGATTGAATGTAAAGCGGTTACTTTCTTAACGTCAAATCAAATACAAATGAGGTTTTCGAACCTTTCCATTAACAGTGAATCAGTTATCACTTAATTTTCCTCAAAAACGTTTATTTTCGATCCCAAATTACGTGATTAATCAATGTATTCTTTATTGGTTAATAGACTAGTACCATGTCGATCGGTTACGATTATCGTGGCAACCAATCATCATTGGAACCAATATACGTGACTAATGTTGACTCCACATCTAGTTGAAAAGACAGTGAAATAAACAAAGTATTCTCTTAAATTTAAACGAAGCTGTTTATACGTATGAATTAACGCACTTGCCGCAAGACCATCTTTACTGAACCCACGGGACATCGAAGCAACACACAGAGACCTTCCCATAGGTGTCACTCCACCAACAAATGAAGAAATCAGCATGGCCATCAGACAAATCAAGAGTGGGAAGGCAGCAGGACCTGATAACATATCAGCTGAAGCACTGAAATCAAACATGAAGGTAATTGTAAACATGCTCCACATTCTATTTAGGAAGATTTGGGAAGAGGAACAAGTGTCCACAGACTGGAGAGAAGGACAACTCATCAGGATACCAAAAAAAGGAGATATGAGCAAGTGTGAGAAATACAAAGACACCACACTACTATCAGTACCCGGACATGTTTTCAGTAGAGTGTTGTTGAACCGGATGAAAGGTTCAGTAGACATTCAACTTTAAAACCAACAGGCTGGACTCCGTAAGAATCGGTTGTGGACAGTCAGTCGACCGCAATGTAGGACCAGGCACGTAAATGCATCGGTCCAAGTTGCCATACCGCATTAACACAACAAGATGAACACCGGATTCATAGAAGTAGTTAATTCAGTGGTGGTAATATATAGAAGAAAGATTGTATATAAGGAAATAGTACAGGAAGAAAGAATTAGTTGGTAGAAAGAAAGATATGAAGCGATTTTATTCTCTTAGTTTAAGGAAGACAGAGAGTGTATACACCGACGCCATTGTGATCGATTCTGAGCCATGTCACCAAGAGTCTCCAACCATTGGTTACGATAGTCACGCGGACCCCAACCAGATAGTCTGCATCTACAGACATGGCTCAGACTAGAAGTTAGCGTCTTCAAGCACTGATGCCACGTTTTGGTTTGGCCGCCCCTAACATTCTTCCAACCATCCCCCACCTTAATTAAGTACTTTCGGCTAGTTTAATACACCTTGATTTGTGTAAGTTTTCGTTAGCCTGTATGTAGCAAGAACATAGAATAGAAACAGGGAAATTGAATGTAAAAAATATGACTTGTGAAACTCAGCCACTATTACTTTTAATTGATACAGAACTACTTATTAAACACATGTTCGTGTTAGGTGGTAATTAGCCGGAAACACTGGACCTGTGCTTCGGGTTAGTTGGGACTTGTCAACTGATACTTCTTGTGGGATTTAGACCCATGTTACCCAACTTTACAGTCTGAGACGTTGCTATTGAGCTATTAGGACTTCGATTGACACGCTACAGAACTGAGATACTTATAATTGATTGATTACTGAGTAGTGAGAAATGTTACCTTTGTGTAGTATTTCAGTGCAGATCGAATTATAACGATTAAGTTGCAATGCAGCCACCAGTCTGAGTGATTCGACATTGGGTGAGCTATTTTGAAATGTCAGGTGGTCGAAGGTAGTTGGCAGGAAACCGAAGACCCAGTTTTCGTGTTATTTAGCGATGTTGAGTCACTTCAAGTATTGGCCGCATTTTAACTTGATCGATTAGCATAACGGGAATAAACAAACATAATATTGGTCAATGATCAGTCAAACGTACAGATTTGTGTGCTCGGCTTTTGTGTCAAGGCTAGTGATAGTACCTGCCTGATCGAACATTAAAGTGGAGTGGAATTCGCATTTTTGCGACCATGAGGTTAAAAGTCAAGTAATCTAATCTCGGACCCGATGGTAGCGACTAAAAATGAGTACTGAAAGAAATCTAATAAGCTGTGAAAATGACAAAAAAATACACGAATAACTAACTTGTGAGTTATCATCTAACTCCGGTAAGAAGTAAATGTCATCGTTTGCCTCAGCTTTACTGTCCTTACTGTAAACTGATAAATGATTACCGACATCTTTAATATCCAATCCAACAAATTTTAAAAGGCTGGTCACTCGTTTTACATGAACTGGATGTATTAATATGAGATTCCCCTCAGAACTAATTATATATTCCTTTATATCTGGAAACAATTAGATAGAAATGCACACTCATATTTGTGTTTCTACTGTGCAGACTAACAACTGACAAGAACAAAAGTAAGTGATATCATTATTATAATGCACCCCAAACATATAACATAGTTTGAAAAATCCTGACATGCGTAATCTTCCAGAGTCTAGCTAGAGTTCTGGAACGTTCGTGCTTGAGCATCCACGAATGGTTGTCATAACTTGGAGAATTGCATTCATGACTGTGATGCACCTTCCCACGAACAACAGTCCAGTAACCTTCAACAAATTTACGATAGACGAAGGCTGGACACTGAGCATTTGTTGGGGCCCTTCAGGAAAATATATAATAACAATGACCAACTTACCATCTTCACCGAATAGGCTGTGGAGATTCGACGAGTGTTTTACGACCATTTCTCGAACATAAGAATTTTATATACGGCTTCTGATTCTTGTGGAAATGCGAATCATGAACCACATAATGCTAGTATGTTGCCTTTCGTGTACTGATAGTGCTCTTTAACGCTCCAAGCAATTGGAACGCGACCACGTACAAGGTAGCTGAAATCGGTGTCTGTGACGACATTCGAAACGATAGAGCTAGTACTTTGTAAGTTATCAACGTTCGTAGTTTGGAGAAAAGGTGAACATTGAAGGAATATTTACACTTTACATTACTTTTCAAAAATTAATAACAAGCAGTTACACTTTTAAAACTATTCAAGTCATTTGACCAAACAAGATGGAAACTTTTTTACTGAAACAAGGCCCAAAAATTGCCTTGTTGCAAATGTTATTCTTCTTTCACATTACAACTATCATATTTCTCATACCCATTAACATACACACAGCTAGATCTCACCGCAACAACATAACATTACCATGATCAGACCTATTTTAATTTGGACGACTGAAAATATATTAAATTATGCCTTTCGCACTATTCAAACTTCTATTTATTTTTATTCTTCGAAGAAGTGACTTACACTAAGTGAGGAAACGTCGAGAGTGTAGTTTTTCCAATTATTAGGACTCTACAAATAAATTATGTCTTAAGATTACATGCTGGTTTCAATGATTTTGTGTTTTAAACTAAACTGTTGACGAAATCTGTTATTCTTCTGTTTTATTGATTTAAAAACTCATTGAATGTAACAGAATGATGGATAGTATCTTACGCTGATATCTTTTACTAATAGTGGTATTGTGAGAGTAAGAAGTCTAAACGACGACTATATTTTGGAAAGTACTTATCAGTGAAACGTAGGGTACCTATTCCTACATTCTATCGAAAATTAAAAAATAATGAAGCTTGAAGCAAGTATTTCCATAACTGGTAATATAACAACTTTACTAAGTACAGGATTACGAATTCAGCTTAGAATTACGCATTGTGTAGCGACTAATTATACTAACCAACTGAAATATACGTAATGGTATTCAAACCTAGAACCTACTAGTCGACAGCCAAGTGCACCAACCACAATGCTATTGCTTTGTCTTTTATCGGATAAGAGGCTATATATTTGCGGATTTATTAAAATATATGTATAAACGTACCAGCATAATTTTCAAGTAAGTGATGAAGACAGGATAGGCAATTTTTGCAGCCGCCAATGTTCACATTTATCTGTAGAGAAAAAGGTAATCAATGGAAACATAATCCAGAAATTACACTTAGGAAACCGGACGCTTTTTGGCTCATGGGTATATCAGATTGACAAATTACCAGACTTTAGAAAACCTGTCAAGAAATATTATAGTTATCGCGTAACCATTCCATAAGCAGTTTCACTATGCTGTCTTATGTTAGTCTAGCAAAAAAGCGTTACTGAGGTCCTAAACCAAATGAGCAGAGTCGAAATTGACAAAATAAACGAAAAACAAGTCAAAATGTTGGTAGTACCGTGGTGTTTGTCGACATAAGTAGCATGTAACACTAATCAGAACTTGAATACCTGTCAAAAGAAGGTTGAGGAGAACAGAAAGGGAAACATAAAAGAATTAGGAAATGGAAGAATCATGACAGATGTAAAGGATAATTGATAGAGAATTTGAAAATAAAGAATTCAATGTATCGGTTTCACATTTTACCACAGCGCTCTGTAATTTCGCATCAAATAATAAACTGGTTGTCCCCACCTGAGTGTTCGTTCACTATAGTACCAACGATAGTAATAAACAACAAACAAAGAATATAGTTTGTAGAAAGAACAGAGGTATACATTAAGGGTTAGTGAGAGTTTAAGATTGAATGCACCTGTAACTGGTTCTGGGCCATGTCACCTAACGTCCACAACCACTGATCGCCGGTGATTGTGAAAATCTTAACCACCTACCGCCATAGATCCTTTCGACAACCAGTGATTCAACGTCCTGATTTGGCAGTTTTTACCAACTCACTCCTACACCAGTTAATATTGCATTTTAACTTAGGTCGCGGTTGGGCATACACAACACGTCCCAACTACCTCAGTCGGTGAAAACCCACGACGTCAACAAACGAGCTGCTATATTAGTCTAATACTCTCTACTAACCACAGTATTGTTCACTCTTGTTCCAAGATATGCGAGCAGTGCATTTAAGACACCTATGATCAAAAACGCGAAACATTTGACTCGCAGTTTTCATATTTCCATATCATCGAGTAATATAGAACAAACCGTTGGATTGTACTCGTCACTTTGTTGAAAGCTGGACATTCCTGTATCCCATAAGTGACACAAGATGACAAAAGCTAAACTATCTCTCTAAATCCGTTTCGAAAATTCATCAACCAGCAAGTTGCCAGGGGTGGCGAAAATTCCAAGATAATTGAAATGTTTGCTTTATATGTAGTTGTTTAATTACTTACGGGGGGAATTTATTGTCGTTCGATATTTTCTATAGCACATTTGCTACCATCTGGTATTATTTATTTGGCCATCTATCTAATTAACAGAAATAAAACTATCACTTATTTGTTTCGAATCAGATTGTTTGATAGTTTGAATATGACCATTCGATCAATATATATAGCTAAAATAAATTCTAGGTGAGGACCTAATAAGTGTCATTCAGATAGTTTTATTTATTTATTTATTTTAACACATAGATATTGGTACAAGGAGGCACCAAATACATATGCGTCACACAGATCTCATGTGATATATGTGAGGACTGTGATACTGCCCGGGTGCCCAAACCGAAGCAGGTGGTTTTCTAAGGGGGCCATACCCCGAGCCTTCGACCTGATTCACAAGGCAGTGGAGCACTTGAACAGAAAAATATCAATCATTTTTAAAAAGTTCCAACAACTTTTAAAATCCATACGTATAAATAGTTAGAACAACTTTTCAAGCGTTATGTAGCGATATAATAGCAAATAGAAAGCCTCACACTCAATATGATTTTCATGTTTTTAAATATCGTGATACGTTAACTTGTTGGTAAACTTTCTTCATTAATTCAAAATATTTCTACAATGAGAATAATACGATGATTGACTAACCAATATAATCAGTGTAGAAACCAGATACTGCAAATACAATTAAATTGTTTACGATGGTTACAAAACATTCGACTAAGTAATCAAGTACATGTAGTAAGCTTTGAGCCATATTCGCACAAAATATGAGATAAAATAACTTACTTCTCAAATAAAAGTTGATTAGTGAGACTAAATTTCCATTCAAACAGTTCTATGAAAAGATTGGACAAACATGTGTGCACATGGCATTTACTTAATTGGAATGGTGCAACATATTTAAATCTAACTCAATGTGAAAACAAACAAAGGATTTACATGATCTTATTTTCAACATCAAGGTAAATGTCAGCATACTATTAACGCTACTAAGCAGTTTTGACATTATTGATTAATGTTGTATTCAAGTACATGAACAAATATCATAGAATTAATGGTAATCAATACAATAACTGTTTTTTTACATTAGTGGGATATGGTCTGTACCGAATTCTGATTGACTAACTGCAAATGAACACGGAGTATCATTTAAAGTATACCTTAAAATATTAATGGGGGAAAACCTATTGAAACAAGCTATTACGCAATAAAGCGGTAATACTGTGGTGAACGAAAACACAGGTAGGGTGAACCAATTTGTTTTATGCAAAAGGACACAGTACCTTTGTAAAATATGAAAACCACACATTAAATGCACATTTCCCTTAAGTTTCCCTTTATATACTCCATCATTTCTCCAATTCTGTTGTTATTCTGATTGCTCTGTTTTCCTTTCTCTTCACCTTATTTCAGTCCTCTGTTGGTAAGCATTTCACTTTGAAAATCTGTCACATACTATTATCTGTCCGCGTAAGTAGCGCACACTACAGTATCACTTTCGTTGAACTTTAAATAAAGAACACTGACCAACAAAATACAGACATACTTTAGTTCAATTGTGACTACAATTAATAAATCTCAAAATACACAAGTTCATCATTTATGCACTGGTTACAACCGGGCGTTAACAAAGTAATATAAATGCGACCATATTGAGTTTATTGTGAGTTATCTTAAAACGTCACACATATTTGGTGCAGAACTTTTCTTAATCAAAACAAATATTCGAATGATGTTAACTTATATTAGAAAGTGTATTCAGTATAAAAAAGGTTAAGAAAATTAGGAAATGATCAGTGCAAAAGAAGTGCAATACCTTTGTGTATTCGTCTGACATTTTGCTGCCTGTAGTTTGAATAAAATTAGGTCGATAACTTTTTCAAATATAATTAAGAGTTAAGAAGATTAGTGCAGTAAAGTAAATCTATATTAGTTTAATTGTAACCAATTTACAACAAGCACTAGAGTTCGATTTAGTTTGCGATGAACCTTTCATTATATGAATCACTACTGGGACTAAACTTCTGCTGTCTGAGCACACGCTGATTACTATCGATCATAGCGTATACCAATGCTGTTCCAAATATTGTATGACCCAAAAGCAAACAGGTTCCAACAGTTCGAAACGAGTTACCATAGAGTTTGAACATCCTCCACATACGTTTAACATCAAGCAGGTCAGGTACCGGGTAAGATCGTGTGATAAGTGCAGAGGCTGCAGAAGAGAAGAAGCCAAAGCCTAAGGGTAGGACCAATCCACATGTATTCTGAAGAAAAAATAAGTGACAAACTCTCAAAGAACTTGTATAACAATAAGTTGGATATTTTACACTAATCTAGAATGAGAATAATGTTATAAAACAGATGAAATTGGGAATATTAACAGTAATTCATAGGCCAAACACTTTTCACGGTGAAATGCTTACAGTAAATTACTATTGTTTATAAATATTATTGTTTTGTGTTATCACTCATTACAGCAACAATGGCTTTGAGTAGACTATACATTCCGTTCCAATTATTTCAATTTCCAAAAAACAGCAAATTCAGAAGCGATTGGATTTTATCTATTTCTCTTTTATGTCACACTTTACGTCAGCACAGTGAGGAACAAAATGTGAACCAAAAGATGGGAGTTTTACATGAAACTGGGTCGTACAAAAAAGTCTTGGTTAGATACAGTTGGTTTAAATATTCACTGGAGAATATGGTTTAAACAACAGTCCGAACATTACAAAACAATTATAAGGCTTGTTATAAAATAAAGGAAACAATAGTTGATGGTTTCGAGTACATTGATTAGTCCGTGGCCTAATGTTAGCAGGACATAGATTGGATTAAAGCAGGCTTCATGCACGATTGCGCTGGAACACGCTGATTGGCTAATTCTTATCCAAACATCGCTAGTCGATACTTGGAGAACATCCTAGAATCTTATGAAAAAACTATAAATATACTAACGTTTTTCATATTGCGTTTTTTACTTTCATCTGACCTTGTTATCTGGAATAAAATCTCTCTCCCTGTTCAACTGCATTCTGATTTGAGGACTTGTCGAGAGAATTGGTGTCCGAGAATACTAAGCAGTAGGAATAGCTGGGTTGTAATAAAAGAGAATTATAATACTTAACACACCGTGTTCTAACTATACGTGCAAGAAATACATGTACACGAAATATGTAGCTAAGTAAGAACGGAGAAATATCTCTAAAATGTTAATGTTTTGAACAGGATAACTTACCATTATTAGAGCTCCACGTAGTTGTAAGCAAATACTACAGTCAGGATATAACATTGAATTAGAGGGTCCAACAAGAATTTGATTAGAAACAAAACGGGTAAAACAGTGATGTGCAATGGCAGTAGGAAGAAATGCGCATGGAACCAAAGACAAAGCAAGTCCAACTCTAGTGAACACATTAAAAAACGATCTTGAGCGATAGGTTACAAGTAAACTTGAGAAAAAGGTAGCCATTGTTACTGTTTCTCCTCCAAACTTAAGAGGTAACACTTCCAGAGGTTTGTTCCATGAATTGATTATTCGAAGACGCAGAGCAAGCGCCTCAGAAGGACTTAACTGTATGGCACCATGGGGTGCAGTTTTAGGGTTATAAACGAGAACTCCTTCAGTACGTTCAAGCGACTTATCCATACTCTACATCAAACGATAAGAATTATTTGAAGAGATCTAAAAATATGAAAATAAAGATTATTGACAGAGCAATTTGTTTTTGAGATTAAGCTTGTCAAGTTACAAACATTAGTTTGTAACTTAACGAACGTAAGACAATTTTCCCTGACTAGTAAATCACGTCAACCTTCGGTCCTAAATATGAACACAACCTTGTGAAAATTAAGTGACTGAATACGTTGGTGAAACTAATTTATTAAGATAGTTGGAAGGAGTCGATATGAGTAAATGACAAATATAAGACGTTGAGCATGTTTCTTTAAAATTATCTTTATCATTAACAAATGTTATATATCTATGGAGGAAAGTACATCTATGTGCATAGTAAAAACTAGGTACCTAGGGACATTTCTATCGACTCCTTTTATTACGCTTCGTACCGATACAGTGACGCAACTAGCAATAAATTTATCATAAATTTCCGCTTCGATTAACTAAACCAGTTTTTGAGCAGAAAACGGGAAGGAAAAACAGAAGTACTGGGGATTCGATGGTTTGTTGCCGTACTACACCCTTGATCTTCCCATGTGATTAAAAATGCTTTATACCACTATTTCTACGAACTAATTCTTTCTTCCTGCATTATAACTTCAAATGCAATCTTTTTCTATATAATGCTACCACTATGAATTTGGTGCTGAGGTATGGCAACTTGGACCAATGCATGTATGTGGCTGGTGCTACGTCGTAACTGACTGACTAGTTTATGAGGCCATCAGTAAGATCTTTCCTTGTTTTCAAGTGTTACACTGAAGCATTCTTAATAACTAAGAACGAGAAAACCGTCAAGATGTGTGCAACAAGAACACAGACTGCGCTGTGACGGCCAGACTTAGGTAGGTTCGCATCTAGCCTGAAGGTTTCTCGTATTGGATGGGAAAGGGAGGTGTGAGAATCGATAAATGGTTCAAATAGTTGTGGACGGAATAGAGGCTTTCGCTTAACAGGCTTCCGTGTCTAGTAGCAGTGGATCACCAATACCTCCAGGCAAGAACCTAGATGTATTAGTGATAACAGGGGGGGGAATTGTTAAATCATAGTAAAATATCCCTAGTCCTTATGAATAGGTCAAGTTGCCTCTTAAAGGACTCCCGGTAAGTCACTCGCACTAGCTCAGTCGGCAGCGAATTCCAGCACTTGACTACTTTTAAGGAGTAGAAGTTGTGTCTACGGTCCGTTCTGCTGTGTTTTGTCTCTGGATTCTGGGTGATGCCCATTAGGTTTGTGCTGGAGCTCAACTTAAGTAGGTGTTTAAGAAGATATCCAGGTGTTAAGGATACTGTAGGCCTTTAGGAGGTCACCTCTGAGACGCCTATACTCTAATGAGCAAAGTTTTAGTGATTGGAGGCGCTCTTCGTAAAGCTTGAACTTGGATCCCAGAACTAATTTCGCGTCTTGCCGTTGGATACGCTCCAGAGTGTCCTTATCCAAAACGATCGATCCTTTTGGAGGGAGAGAAGAAATACTATCCTAAATGGGGACAAACAAAACTGTTGAAGATTATGTGGAAAGTTCTACTGTCAAACTGGTCAAAAATGCGCTTTAATGTTACCAGTCCAAGGTTTGCTTGAAAGACATTTTTGTCACGGTTAGTGTGAAACTTCAAATTGTAGAGATGAAAAAACAGGAGAAAAAGTGAGACGACTCAGCAAGTAAGCAGAATGCAGTTACAGTTAATCAGAAAAGTAATCGACAACAATAAGATATGATTCAAGTTTGCGATTAAGACAATTTAACTATCAGGAACGGGAGTCAGTAGCGTCATGCTTCGGATGCGCTATGTCGTGAAGTCCTTCAAGTTTCAAATTGGAAGAGTAGAAAAACGAGCTATTATATTCCTTGAAATATATAAAAAGAAATCACATGAGCTTAGATTGAAAATTAGGGCATTTTAACAACGCTAAGATGTCATTTCTGCTTTATGATTTGTGTAGTAAAAACTGAAGGCCTACGGCCTATGTTATTCCTTTTCTAGTATGCTTCTGTGAGCGTCCAGTCTTCTCTTCAATGAGTCAATTGAATGTGCGGACACCACTGCTTCGGGTAACAGGTTCTGAATATTGATGACTTGGTGTGAAAACCTCTATGCCACGGGTATATTGTTCGTTCTTGGCTTTTCTACTCGCCTGCTATGTCCTCTGAGATGTCTCGATCTAATGGAAAGAAAAAGAGAAGAGATATTATGTCCAGAATCATTTTTTAGTATTCTGTACAACAAAACTAAATCTCTACTAAGTCTGCGATAAGACAGAACAAAGAGGTCCAGCTTTTCAAGCCTCGCTTTGTATGGTAAACCCCAAAGTTCTGGAATTGCACGAGTAGCTTCCCTCTGTACTGTTTCCAGGGTATGCGAGCCATTTTTTAAACAGAGCCTTGTGGCCTGGACACAGAGCAGCTGAGACAGTAACACATGTTTCAGGGACATATGAACTGGTGCGATGTAGGCTGAAATATAGAAGGCAAGATATTGAACTAGTTGTAGTGTGTCGCAGTCCAGAATGTGTAGTAGATGATTTGTTCCTAAGTAAACTTAAGTCCTGGTGTAACAATGGTAAAAGCCTTGCAGTAGTCGACTTTAATGCACCGTATATAAACTGGGTTAACTTAGAAGTAGGGTCATTGTTAACGTCGTTCGATTGCAAACTGTTAGACACCTCGACTGGATTAGCTTTATTTTAACGCACTATAAATCCCACAACATGTGACTTAAGAAACTCTTATTCTCTTTTAGATTTAGTCTTCACACACGATGATGACGTTGATCAAATGACTTTCCTACCATCACTAGGAAGAAGTGACCATGTAGTCATCTTATTCAAATTCATGACTGAGATGGTCTGTCAAATAGTTGCGCCAGCCCGTCCTAACATATGGAAAGCAGATATGGAAGCCATCAACATCGCAGCACCGGCTGTAAACTGGGAATTTGACTCAAGGGCATCAGTACAAGAAGCATGGATTCAGTTTAGGCAGTTATACAATCGGGTAGCTCAACCATATATACTCTGAACAATGCCAAAGAAGAGGAATCTCGGCCGTCCATTGATAGGCCACGATATTTGGCGTTAACTAAGACAAACGAAGAAATGTTAGAATCTTGCCATCTGCCTTAGCACAGCGGGTACAATGGAACGCCACAGATCGGTAAGAAACACGCGCATAACAAAATTTCGAAAAGCTCAAAGAAAATATGAAATGTCACAATTGATTGATCACTGGGTGCTGATCAATGTCATGAGTGTCTAGTCCTCATTAGTGCAGATGAAATGCTATCGGCCACGTTGAAACGTGGCCGCCAGTCTAAGTGACTCGACATTGCAGGCACTATTTTGAGATTAGATGGTGGTTTGAGGTAGTCGACAGGGAACCCTGGACCCGGGTTCGTGCTACTTGGCACTCGTCAGCAAGGTGTGCTTGTAATCTTTGAGGGAACTGGTGCTCCCTGACGGATTCGATCCCGTGTCACCCATCTTCACAGTCACGGATGTTACCACTGAGCTGTCCGGGCAGCGACCAACCTCCTGTAGGACTGAGATGTAATCACAACTGATTGATCACTGGGTGTTGATCAATGTCATGCATGTCTAGTCCCTATTAGTGCAGATCGAATGCTATCAACTATGTTGCAATGTAGCTGTCTGCATAGCTCAGTGGTAACCTCTCTGACTGTGAAGCTGGGTGACACGGGGTGGAATCCGTCAGGGAGCACCAATTCCCTCAAGATTACAAGTACACTTTGCTGACGTGTGCCACGTAGCACGAAACTCGGGTCCAGGGTTTCCTGTCGACCTTCAACCACCATCTAAATATGAAATTCAGTTGGCATAATCTGCACTCAAGCAACCCAAGAGAATACTCTCGTACACAAAACACAAAACAAGGATGCATCATTGGATTCCCAACCTAATTAAAGAAGAGAGGGAATCTGAAATGATAGATGAAGACAAGGAAAAAGCAGAGGCTATGGCTAACTATTTCGGGGCAGTTTTCATTCAAGAACCTCTTCTAGACAAAGAAACAGACCTAAATACAGATTAAAAAGCCACCTGCCCATCGTGGACTTCGATCATGACGATGTATTTAGGGCTCTTGGCACTTTAGACACTGAAAAGCCAGTGGGACCAGATCAACTATGGACTGGAAGGACGCAATCGTCACTCCCACACATAAAACAGGACCAAGACAAATTCCATCGGACTACAAACCTGTAAGACTCATCAGTGTTGTAGCTAAAATATTGGAAAGAATAGTCGAACAGACCATGATGACATTTATGGAGACCAATTATCTGTTAAGCAACAAACAACATGGTTCCAGAAAGAATTTATCTCGTATAAAACACCTTATAACGACGGAGCGATGTATAAAGGCGCTAGACAACGGAAACTCAGTGGATGTTGTCTACACAGACTTCAGTAATGCATTTGACAAGACGCCAACAAATAAACTGGTATTGAAGTTAAAAAATCTTTGCATTGCCGGACCTCTTATAAAATGACTTAAGGATTTCCTAGTAGGTCGTAGACAGAAAGTAAGAATAAATTTCAAGTGATCCACCTGGAGAGCAGTACTT